GAACAGTTGGCTTGCAGCGTTTTAGGTGGCCAACTTGGAAGTTAACGAAGCGTGAACATATGGCATTATGGCAACAATAATGGCGGAAAAAAGCCGAAAGATTTATTTCATAGACAATTTTTTTCTTATTCCTTTAGAAATAATCATAATATTGATGGAGATCAGTTTTCTCGTTAACACTGGGATCACCAGACCAGATGTGGTAGCAATATTCAAAGCAAGGTAGACTTATAAATATGTAAAATAGATTCTGTCGAGAAAAATTGTTTAGCATAACACAACAAATAACATCCCTAGCCAATTGCGGGTTGGTAAAGCTATTTAACCCATAGTTAGAGCTATTTTTTTTTAATTCAGAGTTGTCTTTCTCCTAGAACAGTTGCCATCCAAGTCTATAAGATCCAGCCTGTTTTACTATTTACCCATAGCTGGGGGAGAATAGACGGATTTATACCTTTCCCAAGGGCACGTGTACTGGGCTGTAATAAATATCGGCTCGGAATGAGAGCCGTGTTCGAATTTCAATCGAGTTTGTTACATTTAGATACCTACAAATATTCCTGGGAAAGATATGAGTCCATCACTTCTTCCCTAACTATGGGTTAAAAATCAGGACTGACAAGGTTCTATAGTCCTTGGTTTGGCAATCAGTCTACCGCAGAAAGACACTGAAAGCTACTGCGGGAAAATCTTCTACTTTGTCAGTCATGAATCGAAAGAGACATGATCGGCCAAGCGTGTATCGCGTATGGCACTGAACAATAAAAACAGAACGATTTCTTTTTATCTAACGCAATGTATTTCTCACCCTGAGACATTCCTTATAATCTGGCTCAATTAACAACATCTTCACTCTGTAGCCATCTGCAAATGGTGATAATCAGGCAGGTCACAATAGACGCCAGCGGGTCGTCCCAAACAAATCTGGTGGGAGTTAAAAGGGTCAAGTAATCTTTTTTTTTCTTTTTCCCAAAACGTCTCAATGTCTTACAGCGAATGCCTGGGGAAAGGCGCGAGGAGTGGGGCCTAAACAAATCGCAAGGATTTTCTTTCCCACGACTCTGCTTGTCTTGTCATCCTCCATTTTTTTTTTACTGTTGATTTTTCTTAACGCACTTCAAGATTATTCTGCGTCTGGTAAATGAAGACAATTTATTTGCCTGGCACATCTGATTATGAGGGGAGGGGGGAAAAAGAATTATTATTATTATTATCATTATCATTATTATTATTATTATTATTATTATTATTGAAACAGGAGTCAATAAAACCAAGAGAGAATTCTTTTTCAGAAATGACCTTAAACATTTTCTTGGAAGATTTTCGACAGAAGCTTAGAAGCGGAAAGAATTACAGAAAATTCCCTGATTGTGGGTCTATCTCCCTATAATATAAATCAATTCTTTTCTTTCTTTCTCTCTCTCTCTCTCTCTCTCTCTCTCTCTCTATCTATCTATCTATCTATCTCGATCTCTCTCACTCTCTTTTCGTTAATCTGAAACTGACGAACTGTCTCTGACTCTTAATCTATTCAGATATATCTCTATTCTGCTCCTCTCTCTATTTGCCAGTGTATATCTGTCACCTTTTCTCCCCCTTTCCTTTCTTTCTTTCCTTCTTACTTTCTTTCTTTCTTCCTTTCGCACGACTTATTTATCTCGGTGTTTCTCTCTCTCTATCTTAGGCTATTCATATCTATCACATTCTTTTTTATTATCTATCTATCTATCTATCTATCTATCTATCTATCTATCTATCTATCTATCTATCTATCTCTGCCTTATCATTTCTCACTCTCATATATATATATATATATATATATATATATATATATATATTCTCTCCCTATCTATCTATCTACGTACGTCTATTCACATCTATGTATCTATCTCAGTCTATTCAGATTTATCTGTTTATCCACCTTTCCATGTCAATTCATATCTATCTATCTATCTATATATATATATATATATATATATATATATATATATATATATATATATATACACGTTTTACTCAAGTTACGTTAAACTATTTTCTATTATGCTAATATGTTCATTTCTAACTCCGAATCGATAAGAACATAAACACTTCAATGGCTCCCTCTTAACTATGGTTAACCTATCTTTTTCTCTGTGTGTGTGTGTCTCTGTGTGTTGTGTGTGTCTGTGTGTGTGCTGTGTGTGTGCGCGCGTGTGATTAAATAATTTAGGCAAGTTTTGCCTACTTATTTTAATTGGATCCTCTTTTAATTATGGACACGTTCCTTAGTATCCCTAAAAAGAAGAAGAAAATTACCATGTTGCATATTCATTTTATTCCGAGTACTTTCGACATTAGCACAATGTCTTCATCAGGGCCTTGTTTTTCCAAGACAAAAAATGTTACTGCACAAATGTTTTAAAATGTTTACAGTAGATAGTTGAAATATATAGGTTTAACTAATACTTTTAAATATTTATTTTTAAAAGTAGACATTATAATAACTTAGTTACGTCCCTTGACGTTTACACGTGTGCTTTCATGATAAAATTTAAAATTGTGCAATACATAACCTTAGCGTTTTTCACTTCATACGTATAAAATTTAATTTTCAGATGAACAAAACAATTTTATCTTAGAAAAAAAGATCCTGATGACGACATTCTGCTAATGTCGAAAGTACTCGGAATAAAATGAATATGCATCAACATGGTAATTTTCTTTTTTCCTTTTATAAGGATAGTAAGAAACTTGTTCGTAAGTACAATAGGATCCTGTAAGGCTCCATTAGTTATAATCTATTTCACCAGAGATTCTAGTAGATAAATCTTGTCTAAATTATAAAATGTGACATGTCTTGATATATATATATATATATATATATATATATATATATATATATATATATATATATATTAAGTATTGTAATAAAAATAAATTTTAAAACTCTTCTTTCCCTCTCTCTAAACTCGACCATGTCTCTCACACTATTCTTACCACCGTCTATGTCATCTTATATAAGCTTAATACTGCCCTTCAGAAGTGTTAATTTTAAATTAATTTTTTCGCCCTTGAAACTGAAGTCTGAAGATCCAGAGAAAAATAAAATTCTCTGGTGAAATAAATTATAATTAATGGAGCCTTAAAGTGGTCTGTTTTTTCTTTAAATTAAATTATTCGCTATGACTTAACATTGAGCTCTCAGGATTTCATCCTCTTTGGGATTATCCATACGGATTACCAATATTTTCGTTACTTATATATATATATATATATATATATATATATATATGTGTGTGTGTGTGTGTGTGTGTGTGTGTGTGTGTGTGTGTGTGTGTGTGTGTGTTAATGAAAACGAGCTGTCAAAATATACACACTATATATCTTTGATGGTGAAGATCTCTGTCCAAATATCCGTATAACCACTCTGACGATGGCTCATGTGAGTCGAAACCTTAGATCGAGGAATAGCATAATAAAAAATATACACATGTTAAACAATTTTTGTCTTTATGACTTTCATTTCACGATTGTATAAGAAACACTGAATCAGTTCAAAAATTCGTCCAACGACACATTATCATTTCAACTTGTGAAGGAGTTTGGTATGCCAGTCCCCGTTCTTGTTAAATGTTTCGGAAATGTCCAAGCTTCATCATTCTTATCTACAACTTGATACACTCTTTCAGCAATAATCGTTAATGCATCTACAGATGACCTTGAGAAACGAAAGCCATATTGCTTGTCTGAAATAAGGTCCTCCATTGTGAGATGCTTAACTAATTCAACATTTATTAGGGCCTCTAGAAGCTTGAGAGATAGAAAACTAATAAGCCGATAGTTGAAAGTGTCGGACGTTCCACCTGAGTTCTTAAAGACTGAAACAACAGATGAGGATTTCCAACAAGCATGAAGGCCATATAGCTTGTCTGAAATAAGGTCCTGCGTTGTTCAGAAAAGCAAAACGCAGCAAGGCATTTATTATACAGTTTAATGAGAACAGGAGCCAGTTCGGGAGCACATATCTTAGCGACTATTATAGGAATACCCTCAAGTCCACATGCTTTGTGGGGATCCAGATGAGAGACGATAGCAGAAACAATGGATTATGCGCATATGTTACATTTCTCTTGTGGCAGAACAAGTTGTAGGTCATCGGAAAACTCTTCTGTTTATAATGAGTGTAAATTTCATCGACATAACAGCTGAGTAAGTTATGTGCCATGCATGATACACGCTTAGGCAATCATATATCTTTCAATACATGACTGACGAGGCAGTTTTTTTTCCCGCAGTAAGTTGCCATTTCTTTCTGCGGTAGACCAGTTGCCATCCACGACTATAGAACCCTGTCTGTTATGTTGTTGTTGCTTAGCGGCTTATCAACACATCTATAGCTTGGAAGCAAAGGATTCATCCTTTTCCAAAGATTATTAGCACTAAAGTGAATGCAATGAATTCGACTGGAATTCGAACTCGGCTCTACGATTCCGCAATCCGAGCCGTTTAAGCCTTTTAGCTTATTCGTGGATATTTTTCCTTTTAGGACAGAACCTGTAACAGTAGATAAAGCTATTTGCTGTATCTTGGCCAGGGACATTTTTCTTTAATTATTTTTTATTATTGCTCATCCAATACAAGTCCCAAGAGCCACTCAAGGTAGAGATTTAATAATCGACTTTGTTGTAAGGGCATATGTAGTGAGTTGTATTTCAACTTCCAGATAGTTGTTTTGTTGTTTTTGTTTAGTGGCATATCAACACATCTATGGGTTATTTAATACCGAAATATGAATATTTTATACGAAATTTTATTTTATTGATGGGGACAATAATGATTTCAGTGATACAAGTATTACTAATTACTTATAGCTGGAGGATGGAGAAGAGGTGGATCCATACCTTTGGAAAAGGATATTTTGCGCGTAAGTGAATATAACGAACCCAACAAGAATTGGAACTCTGTTCTCTGATTAACAATTCCAAGCCATTATTCATTACACCACCCGCACATCCAAGCTTACATCACCTAGTATTCTCAAGCAATCAACTATCTGGGTACTAACAAGGCTTAACTTCAGTGATCGTACGGGGTCCGGTGTTTCAACATGATATGATCGCAAACCTCCGGATAGTTGGAACTCCTATATTAGTGCTGGAGATGAAGAACTTGGGGTTTATTTTTTGTATGTGTGACCTGGCTGTATATGATAGTTATGGTCATTTTTTTAGCATGTGAGAGGCGAGGAAAGTTAATTGCGAAAGAGCAACACCTGAAGTCGCACATTACAAAAAAAAAATCCACCTGTATTTATTACCAGAAAGCAAAGCCGTAACTGCGCAGTTTAGTTTCAATATCAACTACTCAGTGCCAAATATTTTAACACTTACATTTTCGGCAAATATTTAGCAGACATTTGACAGCCTTTGAACCATAAGATTTTCTTCATATTTTCTTCAGATTTTTCTCAAATAAAAATCAACCGAATCTATTACATTTTTGTTCGTTTTTTCATCATGGATGCTCATTGTGGTCCGATTATCCAATTGCAACAGGAATACCAATAGACTAAATCTATCAAATATGGCACACTTATCAGGCAGATTGAAATATATGATTACTAACAAGCATGTTCGCCGGAATCACCTTTATCCATTACACTTTATAATCATCTGTGAACTGTTTAAACAGAGGACGGAAATTGCGACGCGTTGATCTGAGGACGCATTGTGTTAACAAAAAATGCTTTCCAAAAGCTAAGCAAAGTATTAAGAAACAGAAAAATTTCGTTAGAAACAAAGAAAACAGTATTGAACTGTCACGAAATATCAGTCTTCTTCCATGGCAGCGAATGCTGGACATTCTCAAAGATGAAGAAGAAACTTGAAACAATAGAAACCTGGTTCTACAGAAAGATGCCAAGAATACCATGGACCAAACATGTGAGTAAAGACGAGATTTTGGAGAAAATGGAAATAAAAAGGAAACTTATACATATATTGAGGCTGGGAAAATTTGATACTCACAGGACGAATTAGAGGCAAGAAGAACAGAGGAAAACAACACATAACATACATGGCGATCTTAAAAGGACAGGAAATTGTGGAGAGCCATGATCGTCACCGTCCTGAAGGGACACGGCAAATAGAAAAAGAAGAATGAGTTTGTGTAAATAGATGGCAAGATAGGCTTTAAGATAGATAGCAAAAAGACAAAATTTATTAAGTGTTACAAAGGAAAGGAAATTGTGGAGAGCCATGATCGCCCAAATCCAGAAGGGACACGACACGTGTTTTGGGTGAGTGCGCGAGAGTGTCTACCCATTCTTTATCCAGGTGTTTGATCACGTTGTATTTTAGAGGAGAAAAACATCTCGATCAAAGACTCCTCCCCGCCCTAGCAAAGCCTGGGGAAGAACTAGTCAACTCGACTCAGTTACGTAAACATAACCAGACCCCACACGTGATACGCTATGCGTCTACATATCGTAGATTCAAGCAGTCTGTTTTGTTTGCATTGTCGGCCTGAGGCTCATCAAAAATGGTCAAATGCTGTTAAGGTTCAGTGGAAATAATTCAATTTGGGAAGCCAGCTGAGAGCAAGAGAATTACGTTGGCAGGAAATTGGAACTGAAGCTTCTCTTTCTGGTAATCTGGCAGAATTCTAGACGGGAAATGTCACCCGAGAAAGAAAGATCCAAAACTGATTGCTCTCTACGTTCTTATAACAAAAGAAAGAACTAGTTTTTTTATATACAATACTGTTCGCCCTGTACAAACCCAAAGAGCACATAGTTTATAGGGATATGTGAAAAAAAACGGTTAACGCTAGACTTGAACAGTGACTGGGGAAGCATCCTCTTGGGTGTTGGTTCCACAAATTTGTGATTCCTGGGAAGAAGCTGCTCGAGTGGAGCCAAAATTTCATCAATGGAATACGAAAGTGCTTCTCTACAATGTGCGTGGCATGGCGGGGGGGTGGCTTAGCCGTGAAGGATAGAATTGGTTTGTCTATATTTCTGAGATGAGGTATTATGTACACTATTTACATTATTCGGACTATTATCCTCATCTTTGTCGTCATATTTATTACAACGTTTCGGCCCTTAAGTATCTGTCTATATTTCTGAGATGAGGTATTATGTACACAATTTACATTATTCGGACTATTGTCTTCATCTTTGTTGCCATATTTATTACAAAGATTTGGCCCTTCAGTATCTGTCTATATTTCTGAGATGAGGTATTATGTACACTATTTACATTATTCGGACTATTGTCTTCATCTTTGTCGCCATATTTATTACAACGTTTCGGCCGTTGTACGCTCCGGCCTTCTTCGGCAAAGAGTTGTGAGTTCACTACCTGATTAAGGCTTGTGGAGAAATGGAGAGGTAAATTAACAGAAGATAACTGATATCCCTTAGACATGGCACGTGGAACTAGAACAGCGAGTGAAATAAAGGGTTCAGTTCGACATTCCAACCACCTGAAGAAGGCCGGAGCGTGATAAATATGGCAACAATGATGAAGTCCGAATAATATAAATAGTAGAACTATTTAACCCTTTGTGCCCTGCGTTCCTGAACAATTTTAACCCTTCTGCCTGAGCTCCTGGGTCAAATTTTGCAAATAATTGCTATGTAACGTTTCACGGTAGATATAAAACATTTGTAAAATGTTTATCCACCGTTCAACCGGTGAAAGTCATTTTTCTCTACCACCGGTAAAGTGGAGGTCAGGAATCAAAGGCTTAAAGGGGGGCATTATTAATTTCTTTAGCAAAAAGTAATGCTGGTATTTTCTTTTCCTTACAGAAATCTATTGCTGGCAATTTGTTTTTACTCTGAAAATGTATTGTCGGTATTTTTACTATAAAAATGTTTATGCTTTCATAGTGTTTTGACCCCAGTTTAGGGGTTGACTATTTGCCCATAGCTGGGACCCTAACAGGTGCTACCAACCCGAGTCAGGGTGGACCTGGGAACAACAGCAATTAAGAGGTGACCTTAAAAGTTCCCGATCAGAGGCCTTCCTGGCTAATGTAGTTTATCGTAATAATGAGAGTTTGTACTTGATTAAAACAAGCGGGATTATCTGATAGAATAATTTAATGTTGAAAGGCCCGAAACTTTTAATGAAGGCAGAAAAAATATCACTGACGACTTATCTCGGAGCATTCGATGGTTTTCGATATCCTTGCTTATCTATCATAATGAAATCTGAATATATTGCTATTCTATTTGCTTTCTTGCTTGTCTCGTTGCTTAGGTCACTGTCTGTCACACCCTCTATATCGCTAATTTAAAACAACGGGGAAAAAATTCAGTGTGGCAGTTGTGTTATGGATGCGGTGGGCAATATTATAAACATGTATCTCATGATACTATATCTACATGAAGAAGATATATATCTTGAATATACTTTAGTCCCCCTCCATAATAACCTTATTATTTCATGCACAATGTTTTAAGAAAAGCCCACATAATTTAAAAAAAAACATAATAACGATAATAGCATCAGCAGTAGAAATAATAATAATAATAATATAACGAGAAATAATAATCTGCAACTTCTACGGGAAGGAAACTGAAAGAAACTGGTATGAACACCACCCAGACCCGGTTACGGAGATAGGACCTGTTACAATTCTATGGGACTACACAATACACACTGACGGAACAATCAAGGCCAACCGGCCAGACATTGTTATTAAAGACCACAAACAAAAAAAACGGTGCTGACTGCAATGTATCTTTGAAGATATTCAAAAGTTGTCAAAAGTACAAGGACCTTTGAAATAGAAATCTCGAAAATGTGGCATATGGGAACATCAACAATCCCTGTTGTAGTTGGAGCCCTAGGACTGGTTGGAAAAAAATTGCAGTAGACTAATTGAAGGGATTCCTGGAATTCCATGCCTCAAGGAGATACAAAAATTGTTCTGACAAAGTACAGCCCACACATAATGAAGGGCTTTATCTATGTAATTTAATTTTTTTTTTGTCAGTGGAAAGTGTCATGACGCCATTTCTAACCTTAGGTCCTGGGCGGGACGGAAAGAAAATGTAAACGCCAGAAATCAAAGAAAAAATAATAATAATAATAATAATAATAATAGATTTGTGGGATTAAATGATGTCCTCTTGAATGACGTGAAATTGGTTCCAACAAATCAGGGAACAAGGGAATTAACCAAAACACAATCCTTGAAAACAAATGTAGCAACATTCAAAAGTACTCGGAAAAAATATAACATAAAAATATATATGAACTTACTAATTTGAAAAAGTTATTTAAAAAATTGAATAGACAGAAAATATTATTCAACCAAACATGTTTTGAAGTATTATTGGTGCTTGAAATACACTATATATATATATATATATATATATATATATATATATATATATATATATATATATATATATATAAATGATAGAAATTAGAAGGATTTGAGATAATTATAATTAAGTAAATAGGACGAAACGGCCGTCCAGTGCTTTCTACATTCTTTTGAGGTTTCTTCTAGACTCGAAGAATTATATTATATATATATATATATATATATATATATATATATATATATAAATTTATATACTCAAATACACAATACATACATGCACACACGCACACACACACAGACACACGGACACGAACACACACATATATATATATATATATATATATATATATATATATATATATATATATATATATATCCATCGAATGTAATGACAACGAAAATAATATAATTTCTAATGTTCACAGCATTAATTGAAAAGAGTGAATATATATATATATAGTGAGACAGTGATATGTAGGACATTCTGGGATTGTCTCACTTCCAAAAATGTAACCAAGTGACTAAACATCATCCTGATTTCTTTTTAAAGAGTTTCTTGTTCAGGCCAATAAAATTTCGCACCTATATATATAGATGAAACAACGGAAGTTGCACTATGAACGTAGGTCTAGGTATATTTATTAATATATAATTCTTAGCTCTTTCCAACCACACTAAGCACTGTTTGTTTACACCCTATATTAAATTAAGTAAATATTTATTCGCCTACCTGTGTATGCACGTGTATATGGTTGCTAATATCTAGTTAATTGATTT